AAAAAAAAAAGAAGAGAAAAAAAAATAGCCTCGCTTATACACTCGATATATTTTTGTCGGACGGCAATATCTACGGGCACGAGCACGCGCGGCATAATACGAGTTTCTAATTTACAGGCGGCCGCGATAAGAGACTCTGATAACGGGGGAGGAGTACCTTTTACCGTTTCTGTATTATTCGCATTCATTACGTTGCAGAACGCGTTCGCCGGAAGATTAAGTTTCTCCATCCGTTTGCCGCCGCCTACGCTTTGTTCCACTCGGCATTACGGTAGTTCATACAGAGGAGCGTATTACCATCGCTATACGCGATGGCGCCACGTGGTTAACTTTATATACGTGGATGGCGGGCGGGGGAAAGTCGATGGATAATGCCCCTCCCCCCTCCCCCCATTGTAAGTGGTACACCAGATAACGGCAGAGTGGATTGGTGAGGCTTTTTGTCGAAAATTTAAACCCCTCATTTGACAGACCCTCAACGGAGAGAGCGAGCGAACCAATGACAAACGTTGCCGACAAACGAGATTCTCTCGTCTCGAAATTGTATCCCGACACGAGGAATTTCACGAGGAAATGGAAATAAAAAAAAACTGAAAAAAAAAAAAAAAACAACCAACAGCAAAACACTATCAGATGAAGTCGAGATGAGAAGAGCGAGAGACGAGATGGGAAGATATTAAAAAAGTACGCTGTGAGAAAATGAATGTGCCCCCTCTCTCGGGAAGAAAATTCCAATCGAACTGCCTGCGGTGAGAAAAATGGCCACTGGATAAACCCGTGGTGTTAAGGTAACGCAACGCCCCGTCGTCGGAATGATCTCGCCCCGTGGCTGGTTGCGCGCGGCGTGATAAATAGGAAAAAATTGCTAAGCACGATCTCTTCACGGAATACGCGTATATATATATATATATATATTTATTTATTTATATTATATATATATATATATATATATGTACCTCGCGGGAAATAAATCAGACTCGAGATTTCGAGACGCCGGCGATAAGTACGCGCGCACAGCTGGTTACAACTCTGGGCTCGACGATCGATATATACTTCTTACGTCGTCGTCGTCGTCGTCGTCGTCGTCGTCGTCGTCGTTGTCGTCGGTGCGAGCTTTTCACCGAGCATTATGAGAACAGCTGGTGCGTGCGCGACGAACTTTCGAGTCTTACCTGCGTGGAAAGACACGACGCACACACGACGGCGCCCTCCAACGTTTCCATTTAGATCGTGTTCGAGTTTTCCTAGCCAACGACGAGGAGAATATCTTGAAATGTGAAATCACAAAAAGGGGAGAGATTACCACACTTTTCGGCGGAGAAGTCGACCACAGAGCGAAGAGAGAAAAATCCACGATAAAAAGATAAGAAAAAAAAAACAAAAAAAAAAAAAAGAAAGAAAACGCGTCCGGATCTCACCGAGCTGAATCGAACAAAGTTAATCGCCAAGAGTCTCGCCCAAGACTGTACTTGATCTCGCGCGGCGGCAACATAATCTCGGGAAAAGGAATAATAAAGTGCGCGGTGTCACGACGGGGAGAAGGTCGATGTGGGCGGAAGTTGGTTGGTTGTTAAAACGGACGTGCGCACAGCGGCGAAGGCTTGGGCGGAAGGTTCTCCAAATGTGCGGCGGTTCTCTCCGGAGAATGTCCGCGGTGTGTGTTATATACGGATGTAGTTACGAAGTGTTACGCGAAGAGACACAAGCGTGACTGGCCGAAAGTCTCATAACACTTGGAAACAGGTGGCGTGTGCTCTCGTCTTATTGCCTCGACGTCGGTTCGCGCCGAAGGAGGGGAGGAACACGGGGAAGAGATGAGAGTGAAAGAGAAAAAGAGGATGAGAGAGAGAGAGAGAGAGAGAGAGAGAAAGAGAACGGAAGCGAGTCGATGCGAAAGTGGGGAGAAAGGCGGGCGAGAACGTGAGAGAAAACGGAAAAGGCGCGCACAACGAGCTGTCGGCGCGCGGCGAACAAACGAGAGAAAAAAGCCAATTCGATGTTAACCGAGTCAAAGAGAAGATGAGGTGAGCACAATAGACATTTGACTTTTTGTTTCGTGGATCTCTCTCTCTCTCTCTCTTTCTTTTTCTCTGTCGCTCCTACACGCTTTAAAGCTTGGAACGTAAATCTCTCGCTGTAGGGAGAGAAGAATCCTACTGGATGCTTTAATCAGAGAAATATACACCTAACACAATCGGGATGCGGTTTTACCTGTGTGTGACTTTGTCAGACAATTTACAAAAACAGAAACAAATAACCAAACCAACACAACTCGAAAAGTCTTGAAAAATGTTGTTTGCGTCAATACATTCGTACATGCCAAAAAAAGCGGTCGTGTCTGAATGTAATTTTTCTTTTTCATACGGATTTATGCACCATGAAGATTCCTGTGTTTGAGTGTTTCAAATTGAAAAGAAGTACGTAAAAAAGAGAGAGAAACGTCAGGCAAATTCAAACGTATGTAAACATCTATTCGTTCACAGTTCTAATCATCAAAAAATCAAAAACGAAAGAAGAATCTGCAACAGTTACAGTAAAACTTGGTTTTTATCTATGTATGTGTGTGTATGTGTGTGTGTCATCACGTCACTTGGCTCCCTTTTAATAAGGTTTTGCCAAGAAGTAAGAGAGTGAAAAGGGAAAGAAAAATCGATAAATCGAGATATATCATTCAAAACAAAACAAAAAAAAAGAACGTAAATTACGACGCGCGGATACATGCGCCTGCCACTAACGTGTCTCTCATCACTCGAGTAAAACAACACGATACATAGCCAGCCACTGAGTGCGGCGTCTAACAAGCGTCTCTCCTCGTGCGAATCAGTTTTCGGTTGCGTGAGCTCGCGCGCGACATGCTCCCGTCGTCTGAAAGTTCTCACAGTTTTACCCTCGCGTGTACTTTCAAACAACCTTCTTTTTCCCCTCCCCTTTTCCGCATACACACGCCGGATGCAACATCGCGCACGGCAAAGTGATTCGCGCGAAAAGAATCTACGACTGCGCATAACTATGTCCTATTTCGCGAAGCGACTCTCGCAAATTGTCACTTTGCGCGATGCCATCCTGACTTCTTTTTTTTTTTTTTTTTCGTTTTACTTTGTTTTTTTGTGACAAAACGG